CCAAATAACATCAAATGGGAAGCGCTGCCTCCATAAATAACACCACCGCTACAAATCCAGGTCTTTGGCTACACGTCGGGGTTTTTTCAACAGAGCGCTACTATAATTGGAATAAAAGTCCTTAAGCGAACGTGATTTAATATCAGAGACGCCAAAGTCAAAAATACACCTGATTGGTTTTGTTTTTTTTTACTCCTTCAGTAGGCAAAATGTGATTGTTGTTCTCTTTCATTGTTGCAGCCTGTTTCCATGCTGGTGTGCTAAACACTTCTTGATTTCTCAGCCAAAGCCCTACCGTTCAGATTTATGGTGGCTGGCGTTTTCTGAACTATCCGCCGCACAATAATATTTTGTAAATCCACATTCCACAAACATCACCGTGCTTGAAGTAAAGCTTCACGCTCGGCCAGGCTGGGTGCTCAACAATACCCTCATTTTTAATCAGTCATCTGTTTCTCATTTTAAGTTTATCACACTTGAAAAAATACTATAATTTCTGGAGTTGTAAAGGAACCTACAAACTTTGGTCTCAGAAATTTCATTTCGAAGGCATTAACTCATTTTGAAAGTCCCTTGGCTATTTAAGGTGTAGAGTTTCCATTAGCAGAATAAACTCCGTGGAGTATGGAGCGAAATGTTCTTATGGAAAACAGTCCCTTCCCCTAATTATTTAGTCTAGCAGGGAATGAAAATAATTAAGTCTCAAAATTCCCTTTAGAGCGGAGGTGGGGGGGAGAATATGGTGGGAAAATTAACTTTTTTTTACCAATGGGAGCCGGGTAAAACCCATAGCTGGAAGGTGGGAGCGAAGGTGAGTTCCAGGTTTGCAGCAGATGGGTTCTGGCTCACAGGTGAGGTGCAGGGATGCCCTTCAGAAACCATCAGAGCTACAGCCACCCGGAATTATCTTTTCTTTCCAGGTGTTACCGCTTCAGGCTCAAACTGAAGGCTTTTATCCACAGCTGAAATGAAATTATCACCAAAAGGCGAGGGCTGGCTATAAGTGGCTGAGGATGCCCGCACCCAGCGCTCGCTTAATAAGGTTTATAGATTAAATAATAGATTAAAAAAGTAAGTATATCCTGCTAACTACCCCTTCTTACACTTCTTGCACCCAGATCGGAGGGTGCGGTTCAATTCCCCGGGTTCTGGCCACGGGTGGGCACAGGGAGCTCGCCAGCCCCGCCGGGAGCTTCGACGTGCAATGATGAAACGTCCAAAATTAACCAAAGAAATGGTGGTTTTGAAACTTGAAGGGAAGAAAAGAAACCCAACACCACAAACAAAAAATCAAACCCAGTCCAGATCACTTTGGCGCAGGCGAAGCGCTAACAGCAAACAAGGAATAACTCAAAAAATGTAAAGAGTAACAGGAATGGGTGGCTGGTGTGATAGCCCAGCAGAGGATCCGACCCCGAGCCCACCCCTCTGCCCTCGCCTGCACACCTGGGGAGAAATCCAGATGGGGCCAACGTCCCCCGTGTTTGGATTTGGCTCGCCAAAACCCAAAACGTGACCCTCAACCTGGGATCCGGCGTGAAACAGGGCGTTGGGTTTTGCTCTGAGCCAAAACGAGCGTTTGTAAATCGTTTTGTTTTGTTTTTTTAGGTTACGCCACCCAAAAATACACTCGACCCATGAAAAACTTTTAAAGCAAAGCTAATGCCAGAGCAAAGGCAGCTCACACATAAAACCAGCGCTGGATCCTGATCTTTTCCTACTATAAACTAGCTGCTAAAGAGTGAAAACAGAGTCTGTGCTTTGGTTAAACCAAGGTAACGCATGAATCGAGACCCTGTTCCACAAGATCTACAGCACCCTGGGCTCAACCCAGCACCCGCGCTGCCCTGTAACTCCTTATCGGAGCTGCCTGCATCCCTCTGCACGCTCTGCAACCGCTATCCTGTAAAAACCAACGATCATAAAGATCTACTGTTGGTTTCGCTTTAAATTCCCAAACATTTCGCCTCCTCACCTGTTACAGAACATAAGGAAAAAAAGAAAAAAAGCTATTCCCCACCCGGAGCAATGCAGCGTTATCCCAGCCACGTCCCACTTCATTATTTTCATTTCAAAATGAGTTCCCGTGTTCAACTGCATTATAATTTGGTTTTTTTTAATGCCACCGATGCCGGGAAGCAGAGAAGAGACGCGTCGCATCTACAGCAAAGTCTCAGAGGTGAGGTGCAATATACATTTTCTTGATTTTTCATCTGTTCTTGTTTTCAGCCTCGGTCGCGGTGAGTACCAGGAGCAACGTTTATGGTGCTGGGGGACACGTGGTAATAAACAGCTCTGGGATTAGCGAATGCTTCTGTCGCTCCGCGATCCCCGGGAGCCGTTAATTGCCAGCAGCCTCCAGCCTCTGGCTGCCGGCACCAGGGGACACCTAATCCAAACTGGTGACTTGGTGTCTAAAGGTCTCAGGTTCTGCTAAACTCCCCCCTGCCAGGGGCAGCCAGTGCTCAGGTCTGACTTTCTTTCTCCTTTTTTTAAAAATAATAAAAAAAGCAATGTGAAGGAACACCGCACACACCCCTCGGTGAATTCATGGCTCTGAGCCTCGGGGCCACGACCAAAGTTTGGGGAGACACGGTTGATAAACCCACCCAAGATGGAGCTGACACAATGGAGGTTCTCTGGTCACTCTTCCATCGCTTGCAAATGATGCCCCAACAAGCTTTTGAAGGACCCAGTTCCAGCCAGGCAAGTAACCTCTCCCACTGGATTTGTGCCCGCTGTGAGCTCTGGTGCTCGTTAGTGTCCTAATGAGGCACCCACTGCCTCCGCCGCACGAGCCGCACTGCACCCCTTGCTGGGCCACCAGCACGGTGCCACCTCCATGGGGTCTTGTGAGCAGCCCCCCAAAAAGGAGGTGGCAGGGAGCAGCCGGGAGGTCGGGCTCGCTGCCATGAGCTGCAGACCCTACTTCAGCTGATCGGTGCACATGCGGTCAAACGAAGGTCCGTAAAAACAAAGAGAAAACATGGCCAAGCTGGGAACACAACCCAGAGCAAAGAAGTTTCACGTGCTCCTCTTAACACCGCCGAGCCAGACCAGCCGGTTGCACAGCATCGGTGCGCTGCTCCTTCACAGAACCACAGAATCACAGAACCACAAAGTCACAGGACCACAAAGTCACAGAATTATTGAGGCTGGAAAAGACCTCCGAGATCATCAAGCCCAACCTATGACCCAACACCACCACATGAGCTTCCATGGAAAGCCAACCCCAGCGCAGTTCATCGGAGCTAAAACCCCTCCAAAAACATTATTAAACCTGCATCTGCCCACGGCAAGGGCTGTGCTGGTGTAGCCCAGGCTCGCCTGTTGTAGCAATAATTAATCAAGGCTCCCCAGAGCCTCCTCCTGGACCACAGCCAACGTGTCATTATTTGCGTATAACGGACCTGCTGCTTGAGTAACCCCACAAACTGTGACAACACCCTAAAATGGACCTTGAACTATAAATCATCATTTATGGGAGCTCTGGCGCAGCTGTGAGAGCCTCTGGGGCAGGGACAGGATCTGGCCCCACACCCTGGGGATGCTGGCTCGCTCTGCAATGGGAAAACAGGTCCTCAAATGGGAATACGTGCAAAAATCTCCCAACAGCTTTTCTTACGGTGGTCTTGGCGCCTGTACCCGGAGGGAATAAGTCCCTTCAGCCTGTACCGATGCTCTGATGAGGTGTCTGGGCACTACGAGGGGGCTGGATGCCTGGGCAACTCCAGAAATACTCAAATATGATGGTGGGTAACTCACTCGTGTTCCATGTTTCTGCTCTGTTTCTCTGTAGGCTGTATACAGACACACATTCAGCTCGGAGCATAAAACCAGCTTGGGTTTATACATTTATACCATCTCAGGATGTGCAAACCATCTCAGAGGAAGAGATGCGGGCAAAGGTGGAATTTCTGAGCTGGAAAAGCAGCCTCTCCTCTGAAGGTCTGGAGGATGCACCGCGTCCAAGCTGAAAAACATCAGCAGGGTTCAAGGGGAAGTTCATTTCACGGGGTGCCGTGAACCTCCATCCTTGTTTGCAGTGCATCCTAAGAGCCTCAAATGGAAAATATTAGCAAGAGCATACTATTACTTGAGTTGATCCAAAACTCCCTTAAAATGTTTTCTCAGCTAAAAATAACTTCATCGACAAAATAGACACTTTTGTGAAAAAACTCCTTTTGTAAAACACCTCGGGGTTTTCATCCATGCCTTTCGCTTGCTGATGTTTGCTTTGTCTCCTCACTGAAAACATAAACACTTCCAAAACAACCGTCCACAAAAACAATCATTTCTGCAGGACTCTTTTTTTGTCTTCGAAAGACCTCAGTAGACAGTAGAAATGGCATTTTTGATCTGAGCTCGCAAAGTGACAGTGGCAAAAAAATCTAAAGCTGACAGGCAGGAAACCACCTCGGCCGACACGATTTCTGTCCAAAAGCAGCAATGCCGAGCCCTTCGCAGACCTGTCTGGGACCGAGATCCACCAACGGGTCCTTGCGTCCCCACCACGAAGGCACTGAGGTGCCAGGAACTCTTCATGATGTCTTCATACTAAACCCACCCTGTTTAAAGACCACCTGGGTATCATCAAATATATCCAAACCATCAACCAAAGAGAACCCAAACCATCAGCAGGGAGGGTAGAGGTAGAGAGGGTAGACTCAGGGTAGTATCAGGAGGAAATTCTTTACTGGGAGGGTGGTGAGACCCTGGCACAGGTTGCCCAGAGAAGCTGTGGATGCCTCATCCCTGGCAGTGCCCAAGGCCGGGCTGGACGGCGCTTGGAGCAACCTGGGCTGGTGGGAGGTGTCCCTGCCCATGGCAGGGGGTTGGAACTGGATGATCTTTAAGGTCTGCTCCAATCCAAACCATTCTGTGATTGTATGAACAGAAACCACACGTACACATCCAAGAAAGGAACAATACGGAGCCCAGACCCTTCCATACCCCTTGGCAACACCAGGGCTTACCGTGGTGGTGCTCTGCCCGCGAACGGGTTCGTTGCCATCAGGGACAAGGTCTCCTCTTCCTGGGCCAGCAGCTTCCCAGCCAGGTGGATTATCCATTCATTTTGCTCATAAGTCTGGGGGAAGGAACAAGAGACACAGACGTTAGGCACTGCTAGGGTTGTCATGTTGTTAGCATGAAAGACTTGTGCGTGAGATCACAACCGGTTAGCGGAGGAAACAACGAATTTCCCAGTGTCGCAGAGAACAAATCCCAAGGGATCCAACACCCTGAGGTCCAGGCTGAGGACCTCTGGCATCCATGGGGAGCAGGGAGAGCTTTGTGAGCTTGTCTCATCTGGAAACCAATCACAAGGGTATGGACATGGCTGAAGGTGAGCAAGTTGCAACGGTGTAATGAATTATTCATTACCTGATCTGGGATGACCACGTGCACCCTCCCAGCCTGCCCCAGCCTCTATCTCAGGCATCCCCAAAGGAACTCCCATCACAGCTGATGGGGTGAAGAGTGTCCCCAGGGCCAGTGGTCACCACTCAGCTGACAGCCAGATGCTGCTCAGGGATGCATCTCCACCTCCACCCAGCCCAGACAGCAACTTCTGCTCGAGGCGCGATGCCTGGCCGGGGGCACTTCTGCCAGCCCTGCATCCCCACCGAGCCTGTGGCTCCACGTTGTCCCAGTGCCAGGGAGAAGCCTCCAACGGGTGCCACCAGGAGCATCACCCATCAGGGAGAGATGCAGCACCCACAGAGCCCTCCCCTGGGCAAGGGGCACCCAGTGCGCCCAGTTCTCCCCAACACCCATCAGGTGCTGCTCCCCCTCCACCTTGCATCACGAATCTCTTTTTGACTTTACACGCATCTACCACAGCTAGGTGGATGTTCTTGCCCGTTCTGCCCCCTGAACGCTTGATTTAATCATTTCTTTTAGCAGCAAGCTCTGCAGAGGAACGACAACATCCCATTTCGAAAGGACCACCCATCACTTTAAACCAGGCTGCTTTCCCCTGTTGCACTGTCAGAGAAAACACAGAAGAAAGTGATTTCTCTATTCCCGTTTCCTTTCTCCTCTTGATTTCCTCTAATCTAATCTGTCCTCTCCGCATCTTGCGCCGGTGCCGTACCCGTGACCACGCGGCTCTCGGGAGCCACAGACCCTGACTCTGCATTTATCCCCCTCCAGGAATCCACGCATCTCATGCTCTTCCCAGGGAATCTTGCTGAAAAAACATTTCCCCTTCTGGTGCCTTTCTGTGCCTTATACTTCCATTAAGATTATTTTTTTATTTTTCCCCCCTCCTTTTTTTTTTTTTAACACGTCCCTAAATGGATTTTTTAATGCAAGCAGTAGGGGACACTGTGGGAAAGCGAAACCCGGCAGCTGTACCTGCAGGACTGTGACTAATGCAGAACATCAAGGCGAAGTTACTCTGCAAAATCTTTTCTAATGGTGAAGTTTGTTATTTCCGTTGCTAAGGGAAACAGAGGAGAGAAAGGAGATGGAAAACACCAAACCCTGGTGGAGAGGCAGCTCTACCTCGCAGGGTTTCTGACCCGCGCTCATCACAATTTAGAGGAAAACCACAGCTATCAAAGGTGATAAAAGATCACTCTCCTCCTCTGCCTGCTCCCGTGGCTCATCCCAGCTGCCCCCCTTCCAGCTGCCCCCCAGCACGGACGGGTGGTGGGGACCTCCCGAGAGGTGCCAGATGATCAAATACCGCGAGTCAAACCTCCAGCACCCCACGCCTCCCCGGACACCCCTTTTTTAAAAGTGCTCTTATCATTTTAAGCGCTATTTCTAGAAGAGCCTGGGAGGTGTGAGGGTTCCTGTGTGAAAACTGGGGTGAAGCTGGAGAAGAACACAGAAGAGAAATCAGCAGACTCACGGAGCTTGATGAGCTTGATGGAGGACCCCAAATCTTCAAAGCCTGATTCCAACCCAGGAGGCTCTGTATCGGTGGAATGGGCTCACATGGTCTCCAAATTGTTAATTAGCAGCTGCAAGCACCCGAGAGTTGGACTTCTGGTTTGTAAAGTGTTTTTCTTGTAAAATTTACAACATGTCTGGCCCCAGCAAAGTCTGCAGTGAGAAATTTCCACCCGGTGCAGCTGCCCACACTCCCCCCAGCGCGAGGACTCGGCTGTCGAGCACCGACAAGGCTCGGAGCACGCAGGAGCAGAGCTGCACTGACGGCCGTGCTGTTGAACTCATTACTCTGTAAAGTGATACGGTGGCTAAAGGAGAGAAAAAAAAAAAAGTCTAGGAGATCTGGGCTGTGTCCAGGGAAGCATCACACCGCAGGGTGGGAAGGTGACGGCTCCTCTGCCCGTGGATCCAGTGAGACCTGGACCTGAAAACCACTTGCAGAGCTGCAATGGTCACGGTAAGAGGGAATCGACGTGTCGAGCTCTGCTTTTGCCAGCTCTGACTGTGCAAAACAGGGGAGTCAGAACTAGAACCACCCAAGGGATTAATAAAAAAGCCAGGACAGATGCACACGCTGCTTCAGGGTGAGCACACATGAGCTTATTGGGTTCATCTTTAGGTTTTGGATCGTCAACGAGCCCAACGAGTGGCCCTGCCCCAGTGACGCAGGTCCCCAGGCTCTTCTGTCTCCATCAAGAAACAGGCATGGACCGAGACTCCTCCACTTGCCTCCTGTCCTCCAAAAGCTGGGGCTGCAGCTCCCAATGCTGGCCCGTGCTGGGATTACTGGGCAACCAGTGACTCACACAGTCCCTGCGGCAAGCTGCTGGTCGGAAAACACCAAAATTTGCCCCGAGCTGCGCACCTCACTGCCCGACCCTGAGCAGAGCATCCCTGGGGAGGTGCAGCCCACCACAGATGTGGGCATGACTTTTTCCTTTACCTTTTGGGGCTTGTCTTTCTGTTTTAGCAACTAACAAACCTAAATACACAAACTCCATCACCAACCCAGGTCCTGCACTCGGAGCTGAGCTTCACTGCTCGGGTCCTGGAGTACCACCACCTCGCCGGAGCAACGCTGAGACCTCTCTCCAACCGTTTGTATTCCCTGACCTCTCCACCTATACACTCTACCAGTGTATAAACACGGCGTTCTCACCTTGAAGACATTAACTTGTATACAGAAGTATTGAGTAACTTGACAGAATTTAAAACTGCATCGCCGCTAAGTCAGGCACCAAGCGAGGAGCTGGGGGCAAACCAGACGCAGCAGCGACGAAACTCCGCAGAGATAACAGAGTAGAAAGGAATACAATCATCGCCAACAATACATATAAAAACCACCCGGTGCTACAGGGAACATGTTCCCAACTGAAATAATAATAATAAGAACCCTTTTCCTCTAGCTTTAATTGGTCATTTAATGAAAAAGGACTGCGGATTAGTGTGGCATTTTATTGAATCTCGGTCCTGGCACAGGCGCGCGGGAGGAGGTAAGTATGAGATGCACATGTGGAAACAGCTGGAAACTTGGCACGGGAGCCCGGCGTTATTATTTCACATGGTTGGGAGCCCTGCACGGTTTCAGGTCGGCGTCGGTACGTTAGGGTCGGACGACAGAGGGGGAGGTTCACGTTTCCCGCGTTCTGCCGTAAAGGGCGTTTCTCGCGTCGCAGCCCGCCCGCTGCGGGACGTAAGCGGTGCCTCCGCCACCTGGAGTCTTTTCACCCCATACTCACGTTGCTCTTTGCTCAGCTTCTGTCGCTCTGAGCCTTCAACTGTTGCTGTTTTGGGAACTGGAGCTATCGGCTAGAGAAATATTCCATCTCCCACAGAAAAGAGGGCATGACTAATGCGACCCCTTTCCTTTTCGATAATATTCCAGCTCACCGCTGTTTGCCGCTATCATGCTACCCAAGCGACTTCACGGAGGAAGTTCAAAGTCTACGTTAGGTGGCATCACTCCTCATTATCTCCAAGAACCACATCCCCTTCGTTCTTCCCGTTTCCCAAAGAGACAAGCTGTTTCTCCGTGGGTCCGGCTCACCGTATGGCATTTCAGCAGGGGCTTTTTCTCAAGCCTCTCTAAAAGCCATCCCGCAGCTCGTCCTGTGAGAAAATGGTCCAGGCTGAGGAACAGAAGGTGGAGCAAGACTTTGGGAACCGGCTCGTAGATCTTGCCTTGCCGGGGAAATCGCGCACCTGGCACAGCTCCCGTATCACCTCTGTATTTGGAAAGAAAAGTCACTTTGTTCCAGAATGGAGTCTAGACAGGGCGATACAACAGCCACTGCAGACAATAATCACTCCCAGCACGGACAAGGTCTCATTCTGTATTTAGACAGTCCGTGGCACGATAGGCTATCAGGCTTATTTGGGTTTCTGGGCATTTCCATCACAATATTGCGACTGCCCGTGATCCAGCCTGCAGCTTGTCTAAATGCAGCTCGGGGGTTTGAAATTATTCATAGTTACAAGGAGACAAGTAATCACAGTTAAAAGAAGAAAATAAAATTCTCCCACAAAATGCACGAATGCTGCAATGGAAAATGGAAGTGAATCGAGGCCTGTATTTTTAGAAGGGGGAAGAAAGGAAATGTAAAAGGCTGTGCTTAGTACACGCGCACGGTGTTTAGGTTTTATTACGTTACACACACCTCCTCCTCCATTCTGCTGCCCTGCAGCTTTTTCCTGTAAGCGCCTTCTGTCTGGAAGACTGAGATAACACGGGCTGGAATAAAATGCTCCACAAAAATTAATAATCTGCCTTCTCTCTACTTTGCCTCAGCTTTTCCCGTTTGTGTGCGGTACCGTGGAGGCTCCGTCACGACTCCCTGTTACCACCCAGGGGAGATGCCGAGAGCATCAGCCCCGTTGTGGAAGTTCCTCTCTTCCCTTAGGACAGCACCTAAGTTTTACTATAAACTTACACATCCTATCTGGAAAACAAGTGCTGTGGGTTTGCCGACAGCCCGCAGAGCCCCGCAGCGACATGGGCCACCAGCCCGAGCAGCTTCTGTGCCAGTCTCGACATCCAGAGGCTCCTGGAGCAGCTTCAATGCAACAAGACACCGGCCTTTAAAAAACAATAGGAAGATGACATTAGCTTTGCTATTTTTTCAGTAGTTATTATTTGGTAAGCACTATGAGCGCGCCTTCGTGTTGGCCAAATGCAGCCCTCGAACAGAATTAATAACCTTCATGCCACAGCAAGGAGGGGAAAAGGTTTTCCTTTGATATTTTTCCTTATTCAGAGCACTGAAGGCTTTTCCTGGTGAAGAACAAATCTTTAGGATGATAAACAACTGGCTTTTGTAAAGTCTAAGACATCCCACTACCAGGAAAAGTGACCAACTCGAAGCTCCAAAACTATGAGCAGTATTTTGTCCGGTTGCTATTTATTAACGATGCGGAATCCACCCAGGGCCTGCCAAAAATCCTAACGCTTTTTGTACCAGCAGCACAGCAGCGAGCTCAGTTCTGGGTTGCAATGGCCAGGTTCCTTCTACAAATGCCCACCATGAACGAGAAGTCAGATAATTACAGGACCGTTGCTTTAACACTTTGTCTCCAGCTTCTGGAACAACAGGATAGAGAATCAACCAGGTTGGAAAAGAGCTGGATGGTTGGATCATCGAGTCCAACCACTGACCCTACTCTACAGAGCTCACCCCTAAACCATCTGCCCCAACCCCACATCTAAATGGTGTGAGATTTTTGCACTAACACAAGAAAGCGTCAAGGGGTGAAAGTTTTTCCCAAAGCTTAACCTGGATTTTCTTGAGATTAAACCAGATTCTGCCAATCCATCCATTATTTCCTCCCTTCTCCACAGGGGCACAGAAAACAAGTTGCTGCTATTTTTTTTGGTACCAACCTCAGCAACGAGCACCCAAACCCCAGCTCCTGACTGAGAGACACTTTGTTTGTGCTGAGGCCATCCCAGCCCACGTTGCACACGTGGTGTCAGCTGGGCGATGGAGCGAAGGGGGACCCATCCGAGAAGGCTGATGAGGAACAACCAAAAAGGGTGGCACAGGTTTGTGGGAGTTTTTCCCCTTCTGCAGGTGGAGAAGGAGCAGCGCAGACACGTTTCTGGATAGGTTATGTCCCCATGTGGTGCTGATAATGCCAAGGTTGTGGGTTTGACCCCTGTTCGGTCCCCATGTGTTGCCTCATCTAGTTGAGAGGCGCCCCTGCCCGTGACAGGGAGGTTGGATTAAAATAATCTCTAAGGTCCCTTCCAGCCTAGGCCAGTCTCCGATTCTATGATTCTATGAAATGAAGGGCTTCAATTCAGAGCTACAGCACCCTCGGGATGTCGAGACATACGAAACAAAGAGGGGCTTTGGAAAACAAGTGAAAAGGCGTATTATACTTAGATAATAAAATTAACATCGCGAAAATTGTTTCCTGGAAAATAACGCCATGTTACGCTATATATAATTAAGGCGCTACTGGGACGGTAATTAAGAGGCAGCCAACTAACGAACTGCAATTCAGTGGTGGAGCAGCACCTCGGCTCCTCCCGTGCCAAGCGCCCGGCTCTCCCGTGCTCTGGCTCCTCAAAGCAAATCCTGCAGCTACAGCCGAGGCGGAAAGTTTTGCAGGAAACCCCGAGCGGAGGAAGGCGTCGTACGTCAAGCGGTGATGAGGTGCAAAGAGGAACCTGTCACGAGCAGCACAAAGGGATGGTAAATATCTTCCCCCCCAAGTCCTCGGCTTTTCTGCAGCCTGTCAGAGCTGCATGTGTCAGCTCCTTACCTGGCCACCGCCAACGAACTGCAAAACCAGCCCTGCGGCCGCCGGCTCAGGGAGCGACGGGGGCAGACGGCACAGAAAAAATTTGTTTTACAAAACAAATTAAATCTACTCCAGAGGGTGAGGCAGCTTGGTTTTATGGACTCTGAAAACTACCGTATGGGGTTTAGCGAAACTTGCCCGGCTTCACAAATTTCTTCTGGGGTTTCGACTTTTGGTTTCTCGTCCTTTCTGCACGACTCAAGTCTAAACACCCCTCGAACGACGGTCACCCCTCCTGGTTGCAGCAGCACAGGGGGACGGCAGGACGGCCAGCCTGCCCGCGGTGACAGCCCAGAGTTTTCAAACATTTATCGGCTCCACATGAGATTTACTTCCACACTTAAGCAGGTATTTACATGCCTGAACATCCAGACCTGGAAATGCTTGCTGCTGTGCCTAGGCTACTTGCCTTCCCATTATTTCCAACACAATCCATCCCTGCTTTTCAGAAGTGTCGGTTTTAAACCTGAGATCACTTTATATTTTAAAGTCTTTGGGATATTGCAGCCCTGGAAACAAACAGCCTTTCCCTCATCTCAGAAACATTTCTCTCCTCCACAGATACAACCTTTGGTTGGGTGAGCTGGATTTCTTCCCCGCTGCCGGAACCTTCCCAAAATTCAGTCAGATTTAAACCATCAGCTCCCATTCAACCTTCTGCACCTTTATGTAATGCTGGGCACTGCTGCCAGCTTGAGTTTTAACCTTTGCTGTTGGCTTTCTGAGGGATAAGCATACCTAATGCAGATTAAATGAAATTCCAGCACACAAAAACTAGCGGGGTAAATATAAAACCATAGCCAAAGAGCGATGGTTATGTCATCGCTGAGGAATCCACAAGGCGCCTAAATGAAAATACCACAAAGAAACCAAACAGAGAAGTTTGGGGCAGGGGGAGAGGAGCGAGGGAAGAAGATCCGCGGGGAGAGGATACGGGAACAAAGAGAAAAGCCCGTGACAATCTCAGATGGGTTTGCCTCTGCCACTGCTGAAAGCTCCAGTTTTGTAAAACTCGCCCGAAGTTCTTGAGCTCACGCATGTAAGATTTTGCAGACCAGGCTACAAGATGTACAAAAATTAATTTTACAAGTTTCCCCCTTTTTTTCACTTTAAATTTGCGGCTGTCACCTGTTCGCTGGTGCCACGTGGGGAGAATACTTTGAGGGTCCCTCTGTCCACACGTGGGCAGGCTGGCAGTGGAAGCAACGCCAGGGTCCCCAAGAAGGATGTGTCCCCAAGAGGGACGTGTCCCCAGGTGTAGCCCCAAGAGGGATGTTTCAGGTTCAAACTGGGGCTGCTGCCAGTCCCAGGGAGCCCCAGGCACCCTGTGAGGCAGCTCCTGTCACCCCGTGCCAAAGCTTCACCAGGCAGGTGCACTCCAGGGGCTTCCTCAGCCCCTTTAATTTTTGTTATTGCTGAGAAACAATTCAAAAGCTTCACGTAAAATCTCCAAGAGTTTCATCACAGCAGCAGCAGACATCCTTTAGGAATACAACCTTTTGTTTTTAAAAAAAAAAAATCCCACGTAATTAACTCAGCCAGGGTTTCAAATATCCCCTCACCCACCCCAACACGTAGTAAATTCATATTAATTGTTTTCCCTGGTCTGGGGACACCCAAGTCTCCGGATGCCCAAAGGCACGTACCTGGAAGGCAGCGAACCACATAAGCCAGTCCAGGCGGTAGTGGTAGGGGCTGATGAAGCACGGCCTCCTCTTCAAGTCCCCGGGCTTGCATTTGAAGTCAAACTCCTCCCAGACAGCAGCGGGGTCATTGGGATCCAGGCTGGACGTCCCCTGAAGGACCACTTCTGTCCTCTCCTTGGTAATGCTGTGGGATATGACACGACACTGGTTTTTGTCTCAGGTCATGAGAAAAAGCTGCTCCATGAGAGTTAACACAGCAACGACCTCAACAGCCTCGTGGTACCGTTGGATCCTGATGGGTGAAGCTACAGAGAACCTGTCTATCTGGCTGACTTTTCTCTCTCCAGCAGCAAAGTAGGTGGAAACCCCAAGTTTCCTGTCCTGCCCCCTCTATCACGTTGCAGTTGTGCCAGTCCAAGGAAGGACTACGGCCTCAAAAGGGGATTAAATCAGTGGGTTTGTCCTTCTAGAACAGAGCCTGACACTTAACCAAGGCACTGAGAGATGATGACGAGTGTCTCCCAAGTCCCACATGAGCACCTTTAACCTGCACCAACACTTTTTCCCACATTTCTGAAGAAAACCTTTCTTTCTGTTACTCTGATGACTCCCACGATACAAGAGCTCTCTGGCTACAAACTCGTGATGGTAGGAGAAAGCAGAGATGAAGGTTGGTCACAAAATGTAGCTCCATCTCCAGCATCTCCAGATACGTATGGCCACCGACGGGATGTGCCGGTGATCGTGCACAGAAATCCTGCCTCTGCATTTCAAAAGTCTGTCCCTGAGATGTCCAGGATCCGCAGGATCAGCAGAACAGATTCCAGCTGGGACCACTTTGGCATCTCCATGGCCAGCCCAGCTCTCCCCACAGCACCGCTGAGCTCCAGCTCAAACTTTGGCCAAGGCAAAGCGCAGGACGAGCCGGGGTCAGCTGGCTGGAGCCTTGGGGAGGTGGTTGGCCCCCCGGGAGCTGGCTCTTTGGGCATCATTAACAGGTCTCTACGCACCCAAACCATCTCAGCTGCAAGACAGGTCTCATGGAGCCGTTCCTCAGCGAGAGGAGGAGGAGGTAACGTGTGAGCTAACGCAAAGCAAGCCAAGAAAAGCAGAAAATGAAAACAAGAAAGCTCCCCCATGCCCAGCCGATGTGGAGAAACTTGGTTAAAAAGCACCTCAGCCTTAGGGCAGGTCATGGCAGCATTCGGTGCTTGGCAGGACTCTCTCTGCACAGCGAGGTGGTAGAGCAAAGTCTCCAGGCCAGGGAAAGCCCACGTGAAAACACCACCACCAAGTTCGCAATGACCTGTCAGTGACGTTCGCCTGCACGGGAGAGCTGTTTTCCATAACGAACACATAAACGGCGCAGCTCTGCCTATCAAAGCTGTCCAGCTCCCAACACCCTTTTAACTTTTTACTACTGTGGTCCTTCCTCCTCTAACCCAAGAAACCGAAAGTTTGGAAGCACACAGCTTCCACCTTCCCCCCCGATGGCTTCCAGTGATAGATGCTTACAACCCAAGGAATGCTGTACGTCTCAGCTTATAATTGTTACCTACATTTAACAGATTTCTGGATTCTCCAGCCAAGTTCCATATTATACGCTGGGCTGAGTTATGAGCCATGGCCAGCTGCCCAATGGTTAGAAACACACTGTAAATCAGGGACACCAAATTACTAATAAAAGTATGTTCCTACTGTGTGATTCAAAATATGTCAAGTTTCACATAATCGTATATTCATTATAAGCTGCAATCCTCTTTTTATTGGTTTACATAGGCTGGAATTACAAACATATTACAGCAGCATTTCATCACATGCTCTTTAGGTTCTGGTAACTGTTGAAACAGAAACCATAGACTGAAGAAGAAAAAGAACAACAACCCAAAGAAAACAATCTCCCGTAGCTTCACCACTCCAGCCTTCAAAGAGGTTCAGGGGTTATTTCTCTCTTTCATAAAAAAAAGAGAAAATTCAGCATTTTCCACAACTTTTCTAGTGCTGATACTTTCAAATGTGTTTTTTTTTCTAACTTCTTTCCACAGAAATTTCTGCTATTTGAAAAACTCAGGAAAACATCAAATTAATCTGATGTGTGCCGGGTGTCCTCTGCACCTCCGGTGCTCACAGTCTGCTCCTCCCCTTCACCATCTGCTCAGCCAACCTGCCTTGACTTTCTTAAAACCTTTTTAACACTGTTGGCTCCTCCTGTGGGACCTTGTCCAGAGCCTACTAACCTCAGAGCTGCCCACGCCACCGCTTGGCTCAGACCTCTGGGGAACACCCCATGGCCACCGCGGCGAGGTGGTGGCAAAGCCAGAGGTCCCTGCAGAGAAGACCGGCCCTGTTGTTGCCCCTGGGGCAAGCTGGTCTTATGAAACCCTGTTTTTCAGCATTTCCTCAGCTGTCCCCATCAGGAAGCGGCTGGGAGGGACAGCACAGATGGTTGTGGTGAACCCAACCATGGCTGACCTAAGCCTGGTGATCTGTCCCCATAAAACCCAGACTTGGCTGTTTAAAAACCAGCCCCGGCTGCAAACGTAGCACAAGGTGGTTCCCTTGACCAGTCCCACCTTGCAGAAGAAAGAGGGATTCGCCGAGCTGAAGGCAACAGCCAGACTTCTGCTGGGCTGTCCTCTCCATCCGTCTTGTTCTTTTTTTTTTGAGGCCATTTATACTTTTGTCTCCACAGCTTCCTGTAGCAATGAATTCCCCAAGTCACTCGTTGGGAAAAGCACTTCCTTTCGTTGGCCTAAACTCTGCTACCCAATGGCTTACATGAATATTTGCACGTAGGAGAGCAAAATGCATGCAGGGAAGAGAAGTTCACCGTAAATACAGTGGGCTGGTGACGGGGAAGACTATCCACTGGATGAACTCTCTTATGGATATTTTCAACCTGCTGTTACATTTGCCACACCAATAGAAACGAGCTCATTAAAAGCAGCTGAAAGAAAATAAATCCTGATTCAGCAGGAAACTTGCTCCTTTTCTCTCTCATAAACAGATATGCCAAGTCTACTGGAAGAGTTTTTCTGTTCAGGTTTAAGGCACACCAGCTTCCTACCGGACTGTACCGTAGAGAGAAGCAGAGCTATACGATGTGCTGTTAAAACACATAAATAAATCAAAATACCTCCCGAAAGCTCCATAGGTGTTCACGATTCTGAGAGGGTTGAACGAGGTGTTCATGACCTGTCTGGAGTTGAGCAGGTTCAGGACAACCGGGACACTGAGATACGCAATCAGGAGGCCAAAAGAGATGTTCACCACTCTGCGGACATAGCAGCCTGCTGGGGACACAAAAACAGATCAGAAGAAGGTAAGTTCAGAGAATCATAGAATCATGGAATCATAAGAGTCACAGAATCACAGAATCATTCAGGCTGGAGAAGCCCCCTGGGATCATCGAGTCCAATCACTAACCCTACTCTCCAAAGCTCACCCCTAAGCCACCCCCCCCAGCCCCACATCTCAACAACCTTTAAACCCCCCCGGGGATGGGGCTCCCCCCCCCCCCGGAGCAGCCTGTGCCAATCTCTGACCACTCTTCCTGCGAAAATTTTTTCCTAATGTTCAGTGTAACCCTGCCCTGTCGCCGTTTGAAGCCATTCCCTCTTGTTCTATTGCTAATTACCCATGAGAAGAGACCAGCACCAAACATTTCACCACCAGTGATGGGCTCTGGTCCCCCCGTCCCCCTCGAGGTGGCCGGGACCCTGCCTGGGTGCTCGTGGCTGCTTTCAGCTCTGAGTCGGAGTTGACGAACGCTCTGCCATGATCAACCCGACCTTGCCAAGGCTCTGTACGCTATCGCTCCCGAGATCTGCCTTTCTCTAAATTGTCTGAGAAAGGGCTAAAAAGAAAAATGTCTGAAATGTAAGATTAATCATGGCTTGAATACAGGGGGGGAAAAAAGCCCCAGATCACAGCTGGCACTTGTACCTTGCTCAAAATTGCGCTCCTGGTTGGTAAGCCCTGTGTGGAGGGTCTCCAGCTCCCCAGGGCTGCCTCCTCCTCCTCGCCTGGACTTCCTTCGTGCATTTTCCTCCCTCTTGCTCGCTACCTCCAATCCAAGCCCTTCCAAAATCTCTGTTGCTTATCGTTTATGCAGGAGACGTGTCATCAGCGCTTTGGTATTGGGTCTGCAGGAGCAGCGCAGGGCTGTGCTGGATGTCAGGCTAAGGAGACACCTACTGCCATCAGACAAATAAGCAGACGTGACCTCTGAGGGGCTCCTACCCTTATGGCCGTTCTAAATTTATTTAACATTAACAGCCAAAGGATCAGATTCAAAGCAATTGCATGTCGCTCTCCCCTTATCTCTGCAGGAGAGGGATGTTTATTTGAACCTCTCTCAGAAGCTATTTAATAATTGTTTAGTCTGAGAACATTTCTGGAGAATCATTTGATTTGGGAAGGAGCTCACTCAGATGCCTCCCCTCACGCCCGGCGCTGCTGCCAGAGCAGTAGGAGTCCGTCTGGATTTTTTTCCTCATCTTTTACATGGGCTAAACTTTCTAGCCTGTAATTAAAGAGCAGGTACGGGCACAAAAACCGTCCAGCACACGGGCAGCACCAGCAGCTCCTCAGGTCTCACGGCCACGCACCAACCACTCATCCTTCAGCACGTGGTGATGGTCCTCACGCCCTTGGGGTCACAGCTGCTCAGTCATACCAAAAAAGGACTTAATACAGGGAAAAAAACAACCCGACACAGCGAGGATGGAGTAAGACCCTTGACTTCTCCAGAAAGGAAGGTGCAACCTGAGTGTCGTTTGGGACTGGATGCAAAACCACGGTTGGTAAGAAAGCTCTAGGAGCTCACAGCTTCTAAAGCAAAGCTACCGGAGAAGAAAAGCTGCTACAGATTTCTTCCAGCAAAACACGTAAGGTAGGAGACAAAGGAAGTTTAATGAAACTGCATTAGCCTTGCCTGGAACTAACGCTTCTGGTTAATAAGCTGTGTAGATGAGAAAGGACTAGAGACAGATGCTGCATCTCGTTGACACTTTTCATTCTTCTGACAGATGTTTAGTATATTTAAAAATGAGCATCTGCGATTGTTGTTGATATTACAGGCAATTTGTTGCTTATATGCGGTTTATAAAAATATACTACAAGCACAACTCTACATCTGTTTCGCAGTCCCACGAAAAATATCCCAGCATTGCATGTGCAGGCGATCTTCTGCTTGAAAACCCCCTCGGAAGGAAAAACGGGCCACATCGATCCTTTTTGACCAGTTACATAAGCCCTTGTCTTTCCTTCTTGGTGGTGGTATGTGCTCACCTCCCCCCTGCTTCGGGGGACTCGCTCCTCGCCGTGGCAGTGCCACGTGGCCACAAGCAGACGCTCCTCTTGCCTTCTCCAGGCAGGATGTTGAACGGGGAATGGCCACTTTCCCAGCAGCCAGGTCTCTTTGCCAGTTAGCAGAAGAGTTGTTGGACCCACAAGTGCTCAACAATCAATTTGACTCTTTCTGGAAGACCAACCTCACGGCCAGTTATTTACTCAGGGAAGCAGGGTGCTTGTGCAGCCCTAGTAAGGGCAGGAGGGTCACAGAGCCACCATGCCACGGGGGAGAGAGGAGAGCAAATGCGAGAGCTGGCTTTAAATAGTCAAAATTCTAAAAAAATGAACCAGCCACCGGCGTCATGCTCACCATCCCCAGCGCGAGGTCTCCAACCTGCAGGGGCAGCGTCATCTCCCTGCCCACCCAGGTTTGCTCCAGAAGAAGATGAGAGCTTTGGAGAACGCACCTCCAAAAGCAGAACTTTCCTCCTGCCTCTGGGAACGACTCACCTAGGGGAAGCCGCTCCCCGTGCATCGGCCCGCACCACCCGCTCCTTCAGCCCCCCGCGCCGGGAGCTGAAGAGGAAGCCCAGGCTGGCGTCGTCGAAGCAGGCGATGCTGGGCACGATGGTCAGCCAGTTGAGGAAACTCAGGTTCCCACTTATGATCAGAAGCACCTAAACAGGAAAGAAAGCAGGAGAGGGCGTTGTGCCTACTGAAACGGCGACGGAAAAGAGCGGCGAAGAAAACGCCGCGTGCGTTTCGGCACCCCAGCACCTACTTTGCTGATTTTCCATGAGTGCAAAGAGCGATGGCAAAGCTTTCCCTCCCTGCCCAGGCTACAGAGCAACTGCACCCTCCCAGCCTTGCGATTTGAGCTCTGCCCTTGTTTTTTCTCCTGTTTAAAAAAAAGCTCAGCCAGGGTGTAGCGTGACTCAATTTCCATAGCGCTGCCGGTGACGAGCAGCGGTTTGGCCCCAGGGGAACCATCCCCTTCCTCCTTGTGCCAATTCGTCTTTGACAGCAACGTTCTTGAAACCCTTCAGGAGGAAATATTGGAACTTCTAAATAAAGAGCAGCATTAAATATAGAAGTGTGCATTTTTTAAGAGGCGCTTTTTTTTTTCTTTTTTAATTTTAGCTTTTATTAGCCGTTCAGGAGAATGCCTTGCACGTGTAAGGCAGAGAGAGCGGAAAAATCCACGAGCCTTTGGAGGAGTCTCCATAAATATCTGTGTGCATTGGGAAAGGCTTTTTGGTAGGCACATGTTATTTTCTCTCTTACTCTTACAATGACTTGAAAAATAAGAGGAACCTCCCTGCCGTTCTCCAGCAGGTCCTCATGAGCACCAGGCGGTTTATCTTCGGGCACTGCCCGTTTAGCCTTGGTCATGGCTCACATCTTCACAGCACAAGGCTTCGCTCTGCAGCTATAAAATGTCACCTCCTCATTGTTTATAATTTGTTTTTCTAGCCAAAATTTATCTATGCTCAGTCTATACTTACTCATTTGGTTTTTTAATAAGCCAGTATTTTACCTCTTCAAAGACACCGTTGTTTTATTTACACAGGGAGGTTGGAACTAGATGATCTTTGAGGTTCTTTCCAGTCTAAACCCCCCTCAACCCCCCATAAGCGAGTTGCCAGCACCACGCAGGCATCTCTGAGGTTGCTTTGGATTCTTGTCCCCTTAGCCACATTACTCAGGATTTAGCCCTAATTAACTAGCTGCTCCTCAGACACGTTAAAACAAAAGAGGTGGAAAAAAGAAAGTAGCTGCACTATCTTACCCATAAAAAATGAAGGTTAGAAAGCTGACTTAGTGGATTACACGTCGAAAAATTATGCCCTGATGTAAGAAAGTAATTTATATTTCAGCCTCTGGAGCGGCTAATGAGAGCCTCCCCACCTTCCAGCTGGGCTGAACGCTGTACCCTTGACTGGCACTGCTATGATTTTATTTAGAGAACACTCCGCCATTCACACAACTGAACTTTATCCTCCCGTGAACTCTTTCCTCACAATTTTGGTGCATGTGGTCAAGACTTTCGAGACGGTGCAAGACGAGCAAACACTCAAGACCCCCAGCATCCCACCGCCGGCAGAGGAGCTGCCGTGAGGAGCACGCTCCTGCCCAGTTAACCTCAGCCCCACCACTGGTCTCTCCTCCTCTGTTGAAAACAAGCGACAAAGCTTTTGGAAATCCTGAGGAGATGCAGAAGCTGAAGGATTAACCACAGACTCAAGAGCTCAGCTGCAGTTCTCCACTGCCCGCGGACAGCAGGTCTTTGGAGGACACCCAGATGCTTTGAAAACCCAACTCAAGTCAAATGTAAGAAGACTCCTTGGGAGCTGGAGACCATCCCAAGCTTCCCACTCACACGGCAAAGCACGCCTTTGGGTCTGCCTTCTCCAACATACACAAAAGCCCACAATGAACACCAAAAGCAAAAAGGAAACCTCAGTGAACCTTGCAGGTTCTCCTCCTCCGGCCAGGTTGATGAAAGCTCAGAGAGGTACTGGCAGGGACCAACCACCACGGAACGTCTCAAGTAGCCACTATGATGGTAAAACTCCCTACAGCACAAGACAGACCATGTAACAGACAAGATCTTTGACTAAAGCCTGGGATGTGTAGGAATGCTGCAATATATTTTTTAAATATTTCTTCATGCTGCCCTTGGCTTTTAGAGATCACAGAATAAAAGAACAGTTTTGGCTGGGAGAGACCTTCAAGATCATCGAGTCCAACCTTTTCCTAGCCCTGTCAACACCACTAACCCATGTCCTTCAAGGCAACACCTACCCTTCTCTTAAACACCTCCAAGATGGTGACTCAACCCCCTCCCCAGGCAGGCTGTAAAGAAATTCTTCCTAATATCCAACCTGAACCTCCCTTGGAGCAAATTAAGGCCATTTCCCCCCATCTTATCACTTGCCGCTAGGGAGAACAGACCAACCTTCGCCTCTCTACAACCTCCTTTCAAGCAGTTGTAGAGGGCTAAACAGTCCCAGATCTCTCAGCCATTGTCTCTTGCATCTCTTGACCTCACCCAAAGGTCTCCAACCTCTGCTGAGGCTTGTTCAAGAGCAAAGTCTCCACGGCAGCGCCAACCACGCACGTGGGGACAGGGCAATGAGCCCCACCTCACTCGACAAGCAGCACAATCCACTTGTCTTCAAGGGCTTTGGGACATTCCCTGGGGGCTTGTTATTAGGGTTTTGTTACACCCACGGCACACGAGGAGGCTCCAACTGCAACGTGGACCCGTTGGACTTCACTAAAACAGACGGCAAGAAGACAGCTTCTGTCCTGAAAAAACCCTAAATCTAAATGTACCGGCAAAGCTAGATCAAAATTAGGACGTATTACAGCTGCGTTACAGGCAGAGAGGGGAAGAATTTTGGCACCTGATTCTTATTTGAGCAGGGCTCGCTGGGGTTATCACCTTGAAGAAACTTGCTTGGGATCGCAGAAGGAGTGTTGCAGCAGAACCTGAAGTAGGACCCAAATCTCCCAATTACAAATCCAGCACCTTAATAAAAAGTGTGTGTCCCCCCAAAATACCTGCGTGCCCGAACGCTGGTCCCTGCAGTTTCCCTGTGGTTTATCCCAAGTGTCCCCCTCCAGCCCCCTCCTGCCCTGAGCCAGGATCACCGGGGTGCTCTCGTCCCCAGAAATCAGAGGTGCTCTCCAAAAACACCATTCCACAACGCAAATATCACTATCACACATGCAGTTTCTGTCTGAGCACTTCCAGCCAGTCTTCTGTTAAAGCGATGCTGTGTTTTCTCATTAAAAATGACAACAAATAAGCGCTAAAGCCGTGCCGTTCCGTATTTTATGACCGACACCATTTTTTTTTAACTATGGTGATTTGCAAGTTACAATTTTCAACCTCCCAGCAGCCCTCTTGGGCAGCAGCCACATAACCTTAAAAAAGTGAAAGATTTGACCAATTACAGTAAGTAACAGAAGCCCTGACTATTATTGAGTTAAAAAAAAAAAAATAATTATTTATCCTGAGATGGGTAATCATGCAGAATTATGAGGGGGGGAGGGAAGTATTGAAATCTGAATTACAGACACACGTTCGGCCCTTGAACATGACACGTTACACTCGAGGCTCGGTGCTCCCCCTTTGACCCGACTGTGATGGAGTTCAGCGCATGTTAATCAACCCGCGCTCATTAACGCGCTCCTCGCCCAGCCGCGCCGCGCGGAAACTCTGACCCTTTGCTGACGGGATTCGCCTCGCGCAATTGCAGTAATAGTAAGAAAACAGTTCTGCACTTTGCCACTTCTGCCGAGGCTCGTTTTACAGCTTCGTACGGAGCGACTGGGTGGTCCACGGGAGGTTTTTTTGGGGGGTTGTTTTTTTTTCTCAGTAGTGATTCACCTCTCGTTATTGCTTGGAAGGCAGAAGCGAGAGATCTGATTTCCACCAGCCCTTTAAAAATCAAGGGATTCAAAAATAATACAGCTTTGGCGTTTTCTGGTCTGCGGGTGGAATCACCAACCCGACGCGTTTTTAACTCCGACCGCGTCCCGACGCTCGCGCCAGCCCCTGCGGCTGCTCCCGCGCACCAGCACCGGCGTCCAACCCTCCCGGTTAACGCCGTATGCCGCGACCCCCTCGGCTTGGCAGAAAGAAAACCTCAAAGGAACTCCTGCCTCAGAGTCAATTAAGAGAAAAAAAAGTCATTTTTCCACTGTGCCTGTCCTAGCAGACAGCTTCGTGGCCGTTTTCGCACGAGGTGTGTGTTATCCGACCGACGTGTCCGGCCAGCGTTCGGGGCAAAGCTTTGCCAGCTCAGCAGCCAGTGTCTTCTCCGGCGCTGATGCCGTGAGCACAACATCCCCCCGGTTAGTGGGTTCTACACAAATCAAACCAGCGCTTGGGCACGTTTGCCTAAACCCTTCCTTTTCTGCACGAAACCTTCTGCTCGCCCTGCCCTGGCAAAGCGGAGCCGCGCCAGTTCCCGGTGGGAATTTTTAATTTCACACGAATTTCTTAGGGCGGTGAGGGCAGAGATCTCTGCTCACAGAACCGTGGAACACTGGGTTGGAAGGGATCTTAGAGATTATTTAGCTCCAGCCTCCCCACCACGGGCAGGGACACCTCATGCCATCACTGTGTGCTCACCTGCCGCCCCGGGGACCGAACAGGGCACATGCCTGATGCTGGCACTGGTGATCTGGAGTGAAAATCCACCAAATTTCCCAAGGTTTTTCACGCACAGGTTGTCTGACTTCCTTCTCCTCCACGTTTTGGGGACAGGGACACCGAAGCCCTCCAGGAGCTGGTGGTGCTGGCCGGGCAGAGCACGGAGAGCATCACTGCTCCTTCCCCATCGGCTGCAGGACGAAGGAGAGTTTGTTGCACCCATCTCACAATAATTTCAGGCTTTGCACCATGCCAGCCTTGGCCCTTCAGTGCTCCTACCACGATGGCAACCCAAACTTATCTCCTTATCTACATCCTCTGCCGCGGTAGATGTGCTGTGCCCTCCCTACCTCGGCCTTGGTTTGTGTTTCCTGACTGTCTTTCTCTTGCTGGACGGTATTTAAATGCACAATTATAACAAACAGATGGTATCAACCCCTGTGGTGATTTTTAAAAATTTTTTATTAAAGCACAGTATTAATCATGGTAATTGGGTAGGAACTTTAAGGT